AAAACATTTGATTTCTTCCAATTTGCTATTTATCCATTTTAGAATAACTTGTATCACCACATTATACATTTGTATCTAACCATGTCACTAACACAGATGTCTAATGGGACAAGTAGACAAGGTAAAGTTAAAGAACCCAGGTGTGAAGCCTATAAAAAGAAAAGAGTATATTTAAGGAGTAGGTAAACAGCAAATATGCAACAACAAGTGAAGTCAAGGGCATCTAGGCACTGTAAGATAGTAGCCCCAAATATTACTTCCATCACAAATGAAGTATTGATGATCAAACATTGCAAAGACAGGGCTTTATGTAATAGTCAAAAAAAAAAAAAAAAAAAAAAAACACGGACAAACGAAAACAAACCCAGAATGTGGAAGTAGCTAGACGGTCATGGTCACAGAGAAGAGAAGAACAGGAAAGGCCTGTATCCCCCAAATCAGCCAGTCCAGTGAGTCCAAATGCTGGCAGGGAGACAAGCAGAGGAGGGTCAGTCACTCAGAGCTGACTGGGGAGCTAGGTGGAAAAAAGAAGGTCAAGTGCCAGGCTGGCAAGGTCAGAGAGTCTAACACAGCCTCTCAGGGGACAGGGCCTGAGGGAGAGGCAGCCGTGGGGCTGTTCATGAGCAGGCGAGCCACCAGCAGAGAAACTCATGTGTGGGGAGGGCCACAGGGCGTGAGGAGGATCCAGACAAAGGAGTTCTCCCCAGTGCTGGCTGAGTGGCTGATGGGCTTAGAGGATCCTGGGGATGTGGAGGGAGAATGGGCCAGAATGGCAGAGGCCTAGGGGGAGGGCACAGGCAGCAAGCTCCAATGGCTTTCAGTGAGGGGAGGCCAGGAAATGGAGTCTTCTAGAGCGGGGCGCTGTTGGTTACTATTTTGTAAACTCGACACAAGCTAGAGTCAGTTGAGAAGAGGGAGGCTCAGCTGAGAAAATGTCTCCATCAGACTGGTCTGTAGGCAGGTCTGGGGGGCGTTTTCTAGATTAATGGTTGGCGTGGCAGGTTAGAGCCCACTGTGAGCAGGGCCGTCCCCGGGCAGGTATTCCTAGGTTGGGAGCAAAGTAAATGAGCCAGGAGCAACAAGTCATAAGCAGCATTCCTCCAGGGCTTTTGTTCAGTTCCCACCTCAAGGAACTTGAAGTTCCCACCTCAACTTCCTGCCTTGCCTTCCCTCAATGATGGACCACCCAGGATGTGCAAACCAGACAAACCCACTCTTTCCCAAGTTGCTTCTGGTCATGTTGTTTCATGACAGCGAGAGACATCAAACCCCAACAAGAGCCTTGCTGTCGGGAGGTGCCACCAGAGGAGCCCCTTGCCAGGGGAACGAGCGGGCAAGGAAGCAGGTGGAGGCCTGATGTAAAGGAACCACGGGGAGAGTGGACAAGAAAAATGAAAACATTCAGGACCTGGGGAGGCCAAAGTAACCAGGTGGAGGGGATGAGGAGAGGCAGGGAGAGGGAGGGATAGGAGGGAGAGGGCCAGACAGACAGACAGACACAAAGAGAAAGAGCGAGAGGCTCTTGTCACCGAGTGGGCCCGGATCTCATGCCCTGTGTGAATACATCATTAGTTATCTGAGCCCCTGCACCCATATCTCATGGCAGGAGCTGGAGAATCACACCTTGGCCACCGAGGAAAGTTGCCCGAAGTCAGCATTGCGTCCGCCTTCCCAAAGAATGGGGCAGAGAGCACAGGAAAGGAGGATAAGTGAGCTTTAATTTAACAAAGCTCAAGGAGAGAGCCACACCTTGGAGTGTCAGAGATGGAAGCACCAGGGGAGAAGAAGGGAGCAGGTACCCCAAGGCTCTATCCATTGGGGCCATTTGTTAAAGTGGGGCATGAGCTCTTCATTCCGCCTAGGATGACCCGAGCCTCGAGTCTGCTCCACTTCCTAGATCCAACCGAAGAGGAAAATAATTAACCTCACTCTGTTATTGTCGTGTCAACTATGCAGTGGGCTGAAGGGTGTCCTGTGGTCCCGGAGAGCCAGGATGCGTGTTTGAGATAGGAGATAGACAGCTCACCGCATTTGTTACCATGAACTTACCTTTTCGCTCTGTTAACTTTGGGTCAGGGAGGCACAGCTGGGAGTATTTGTTCTCGTCTGTTTGGTCTTCATCACCGTGTCATCTGGGCCCCTACCCCTGGTTCACCTTTAACTTAACGGTGATAAGCCTGACACCGTTCTTTGCTTTATTTACACCTGGGCAGCGACAAACAGTTTGAGGAACGATTGCTGACAGGACAGCACGTGAACCTGCGAGCTGTCACTCTGGGGCCTTTCCCAATGCCTAAGACAGTGGTTCTCACCCTTCCTAATGCTGCGGCCCTTTAATCCAGTTCCTCACGGTGTGGTGACCCCCAACCACAAAATTCCTTTCGTTGCTACTTCATGACTGTGATTTTGTTACTTCAGTGCATCATAAAGTAAACATCTGTGGTTTCTGATGCTCTCAGGCAGCACCTGTGACAGGGTCCTTCCACCCCAGGGGTCGTGGCCCACAGGTTGAGAACCGCTGCCCCAAGTGCTTGCCTACCCTGGCCATCAAGCAGGAGCACAAGTTCACCGGGAGGAGAGCCCAGCCTCGGTGGTTAACCGGCTCAGGTGGTAAACATGGGTGTGTGACAAGGAGAGTTCTCTCTCTGACTGCTCTGAGCAAATACTCGGCAAGAAGCGGTTTAAAGCAAGAAAGGTTTATTGTCTCTGCGGTCTGCGGGGATACAGTCTACTGTAGCAGGGAAGGCGTGGGGGCAGTGGTGTGAGGAGACTGACCACTCTGCCTCACAGCTGGGAAGCACAGAGACGATGAGAAAGTTGGCCTGGGCTATGGAAGCACAAGACCCCCCGGGCCCCACTGATTCCCTTCTTCCAGCATTTTTCCACCTCTCGGGGGCTCTACAACCCTCCAAAATGGTGCCACCAGCCAAGGGACGAGCATTCAACCCCGTGAGTGTATACATTCTAACCACTACGTTGTGCCCCTGGCCCCCACAGGCTCGTGGCCACTTCATAATGCAAACTATACCCATTCCAACGTCAGAGACACCCATGATCATGAACAGTTGCAACTGACAATGCTCAGGAGTACAAGTCTCTCTTGAGACTCAAGGCCCTCTCTCAACTGTTAGCCCCTGCAAAATCAAAAACAGGAGAGATGTATATTTCCAACAAACACGCAATGGCAGAGAGTACACATGGGGACGGGGCAAAGAAAGATGAGACCAAACCGAGACGGAAATCCTGCAGAGGAAATGCTGCAGCTTCTTGTCCATTATCCGGGGGCTCCTATGGGAACCATCTTGCTTCCAAAGTCCTGGCGAAGCCCGGTCCCCCAGCTGGGGCCCAGGTAGTCCCTGTCTCAGTCTGGCTCCACGCTGAACACACCCACATGTTGTCTCACTGGGATGGCCCGTGCTCTGGGCACCCCCTCCATCCTGGGGTCTCTATTGCAAACTAGGCTTGGCCTCCACGGCTTTACAGCAGCAACCTGGGGGCCTCCTTGTGGGGAATATGCTCCTGCCACACTTTGCCTACTTTCAGTGGCTTCATGGACCCTCGACCCAAAGCTCTATCATCCCCCAACCATGCATTCTTGCCTGCTTGCAAAGCCAGCAGCAGGTGGAGGGTATTGCCACACCAGCTTGAGATGTCCTATCTCATACCCTGAGACCCAAGTGGTAGCCATCTCTGTCCACCTTAGTGGTTTCAGTCAGAGCAAATGGCTGTCCAGGGTGGTCTCTTTGAGCAGAAGACACCCTCAGCGCTGTCCCGGTCCATGCCTCTCCTCTCCCACACCTTTGTACTGTGATAAGTCACAGCCTTCAGAGGGCACGGCCTTGCCCTCTTGGCACCTTTCCGATTGTGCCGGTATAGACTGCAAGGCATCTCTGTCCCGGGGCTAATTCCTTGAACAAGGACAGCTGTGCTTGCTCCGTAACTTTGAACTCTTTGCTCTCCTTGACCATCTGCAGCGGTCTCACACCTTTCTGCTGCACTCCTTGCTCTGTCTCTGCAGACCTGTGTGAGAGCATTGGGCAGTAACCTCGACAGAGCCTGAGTACTGTCCTGTCCCCAAGCTTCTCCCAACAAACTAAGTGCCCCGTTACTTTTAAATTCTGCCCCACTCAAGGTCTCAGGACAAAATCCAAATGCAGCTAGGGTCTCTGCCAGAATTTCACACAGATAGGCCTCCAGCCCAGTTCCCAGAGGAGTGTCATGCCCCTCTGAAAGGTCACAAGCTGGGCCTCCACTGGCTGCATTGCTCTGGACGTCCTGGCCTTCCAAACTACCAGAATGGCCCTGAAGCTCTTACCTGAGCATTCTAGGCTCTTGCCAGTGCAAAGTTCTCAACTCTGCCACCTTCCTCCCCGAGACCAGTTCGAAGCCCTGCATAGGGCATGTTCCCCAGGCCTCATCCTGCCTTGTTACTTTTCTCATCGTTTAAGAACAAACCCCCTCCCAGAAAGGAGGGAGGGGGCAGGGTACATCCCACCTTGGTGCAGAAGCAATGGCGGCAGGAACAAGAGAAGGAAGCTGGCCCTTGGCATCACTGGTGCAGTCAGGAAGCAGCTAAGCAAGCAGAGGAAGTGGGGCCTGTCTCCAAACCCTCAAGGCCTTCCAGGTGACTCACCTCCTCCAGTGAGGTCTGCCTCCTAAGGCACACAGCCTTTCCAAAGAGTGCCCCCAGCTGGTGACCAGGAGTTCAGAGGCATGAGTCTCTGGAGGCCACTTGCCCTGCAAACCACAACAGTAGCTGGGTGGGGCAGGCAGGTCTCAAGGGCGGGAAAGTGGCAGGTATAGAGTCCAGGGGGGCCCCTGATGTGGCCCAAAGTCTGCAGCTCCTTCCCAGGTCAAAG